ATTTCAGCAGTCATTCAGCAGAGCTTAGCAGTCAGCTAATTTCAGCAATCATTGTGTAAATTTCCACAGTCATTCAGCAGTGTTTAGTAGTCACTTAGCTAATTTTAACAGTTGTGTAGATTTCAGCAGTCATTCAACAAAGCTTAGTAGTCACTCAGCTAATTTAATCAGTGTTTTATCAAATTTCAGCTGTCCTCAGAAGGTTTCATTAGTTTTCAGTAGACTATCAGCAGTCACTCAGCAGGTTTTAGCAGGCAATTAGTGATAGATTTACTCTGCAGTATAGCAGATAGTCAAATTTTTCTAATTTATGAATTATTTACAATAAATATTAAAATTTGTGGATAATGGAACTGCATGTAGGAAAAAGTTAAATTAACGAAACTTTAGAAAATATTGGTGCATGTTTTGTTTTAATTGTTTAACCCAGATGTTTCTGTTACGTTTTTAAAAGTTGCTCAAGTTGAAGATTTGTTTGTCAATGTTTGTTTTTCCTGCTTTCTGTCTTTAGATGTAACGGTCTTCTCTCTGAGCGTGGAGGAGGATGACCCCTCGGCACCATCAAACTCCGCCTTCCCGGCTTTACTCTCCTGTAAAGGGTGTGGTCACTTGATGGGGAACACGCCTCTTGGGGCGGGACTTGACCTTGGTAACGTTGAAGTTTTTGGGCACTAATCAGACAACGCAAACCCTTACAGATTACCATACGTTTCCTTGGTGTAACCTTTAAGCAGTTTTTTTTTTTTTTACTCTGAAAGTATGGTAATCATTAATTTCCAAAAACTCAAAAGGACAAAAAACAGCAAAGAGCTCAGTGTCCCTTGCCCAGACGTGGGTTACTGGGGACCGGAGAGTGTGCTCCAGTTATGGGGGCATCACTCTTCTTAGCCTCCCTGATAAGGTCTATTCAGCGGTACTCGCTTTTCCAGTATCCCTAAATAGACCTTACAAGGGAGGGTCTGTTCAGGGGTACTGGATAAGCGAGTCCAATCGTTGGTCAAACCTCAGATCCAGGAGGAACAATGCGGGTTTCGGTCCTGGCCATGGAACACTGGATCAGCTCTTTACCCTCACTAGGGTCCCCAAGGCGTCATGGGGATTTTCCCATCCAGTCTATATGTGTTTTGTGGACTTGGAGAAGGCATTCGACCATGTTCCTTGGTTTGCACCATGTGTGTGCGTGTGTGTGTGTGTGTGTGGGGGGGGGTGCTCTGTGAGTATGGGATTGAGATCCTGTTGCTATGGGCTGTTCGGTCCCTATACAAGTGGTGCAAGGATTTAGTTCGCATTGCTGGCAGGAAGTCGGACCCCTTCAGGGTGGGAGTTGGACTCCGCCATGGCCACTCATTGTCATTGATTCTGTTCGTAACTATTATGGATGGATAGAAGTAATCATATATTTCTTGGTTCCAGGTGTGGGTCTGGACCTGGGAGTGGAGCTGTACTGTCTCACTTGTGAGAAGGGCCTGCAGAACGCTGCCTCAATCACCTCTCCTCAGGTGGAGAACTCCAGCCTCTCTGACAGAACTATCAATTGTCACTCTACCAGGAGGAGGAGGAGAGGTGTAGGTAAGATCAGCAGCGGCGCCGACCTCTCTCCCAAACTGTACTCGTGCTCTCTGTGTGCCTTCGCCTCTCGTTACTCCAACCACCTGAAACGCCACATGAGGATCCATGACGGCCAGAAGCCGTACTGCTGCCCTGTCTGCCCTTACGCCTCGGCCCAACTCGTCAACCTGCAGCGGCACGCTCGCACCCACACCGGGGAGAAACCATACCACTGTCCAAAATGCAGCTACGCCTGCAGCTCGCTCGGCAACCTGCGGAGGCACCAGCGCATGCACGTGCAGGAGCGTCCGTCAAGGAGAGAGAAGGAGAAGAAACGAGGGAGGAGGAGAAAAACAACAGAAGGATGTGAAGAAGGTATGAAACACAGAGGTGTTCCACAAGGATGACTGTTGAGCCCTGAAAAAAATAAACAAAAGCAGTTTCTTTTGCTCTGTTATGGAAATCCATTCTACATTTTCCATCATGCAGTTTATTCTGTTTGACTCATAATTTATGCTAAAAACTCAGTATGTTTAAATAGAAATCAGAGTCAGGAGTTTTATTTTTTACTTTCGGTGTATTGAAAAGAGGAAGCAGAAAATGAGGAAGAGAAATTCTCTCTGTTTGAGTGATCAACCTTAAATTGGCCACTGCTGAGCATTTAGGAGAACTTAATTTTTCTGTGACACATCAGCTGGTTAATTACCTGAAAATATTAATCTTTGTAATAAACACTAATAGTTAGAATAAATACTTATTTTTTTTCTGTAATTAGAGTTCTTATGCTTTTCTGTTTGATTCAGTGGTGTCAGATTTGACCTTGAGGGTGACCCAGGACTCGTCTTTCCTTCAGACGTTGGGAAGCCTCAGCTCTCCCACAGGGCACCTCCCGGTCCTCCTCTTCCCCCTGTGCTGCCGGGTGTGCGGCCTCACCCTGGAGGAGGCCGACCTGGAGGGGGACAGAGCTGAAGTGGAGGCAGGGGGCGACGGAGGTCAGGTACGTGAAGTCAGACTGTGGGATGTTTTTTATTTTTCTGTGAAACTAATTTCACATTAAAAACTAGGCTTAAATGATGTTTTAGCATTAACCCTCATCGCTATGGCTTCCTGCTTTGTCTCATGTTAAGAAGTTTATTGATGTTTTTAGGACTTTTGACACATTTTCCATCAATTCTGCTCAAAAAGAAACATTTTAGGAACAACATATCCATCAAAGTGAAACAAATCAGTTGTTTTGTTGTTGAGATCCTTTTCCTGAGGCCTGAATAACTGCAAAGAAACCTGAAGTGACACGAAGTTTGAATAATATTCAGTATTCTGTTTTATTGTCAAAGTGTAAAAACAAAGCAACAACAAAAACCTCTAATTAAGTTAATTTTATTTAGTTCAAAGTCTCTGTGTCGTGAGGTTAAATCAAATTTACAAAAATATGGAGTTTAATCATCATGAATCATATTACATGTTTTTAATTTATTATTAATTGTGTGAACGTTTATGAAGCATTCACACTGTTCCATTTTTCTTCTGTAAGTTTTTCGGCAGGATTCTCGTCCCGCAGTTTTCAAGCTATTTAAACAAATCGTTTATCAAAACGTTCCGCTCTTTCAGCTTATTTCTGCAACTTTCAGCTTTCCACTTCCTTCTGGTAATCTCAGCTTCTTTCTGCTTTTTCAGCTACTTTTCAGCTGTTCCATGCCAATTTAGGCTTTTTTCAGATAATTTCCACTTTTTTGTGTTCATTTTTGCTTCTTTCAGCTGGGTAAACCTTTCTGCTTCCTTATGCTAATTTAAGCTTGTTCTACCCTTTCAGCTACTTTTTAGCTACCATAATTTCAGCTGTTTTGAGATAAATTCAAGTATTCTGCTACTTTCAGCCCGATTAACTTCTTTCATCTAATTTCAGGTTGTTATGCTCCTTTCAGCCTTTTTCTGCTATTTTCAGCTTTTCAATTCAACTGCAATTCAATTTCAACTACTTTTTAGCTGTTTTTGTGCCATATTTAGCTTTTTCAGCTAATTCTACATTTTCAAGGTCAATTTTAGGTCATTCCACTTCCTTATGGTAGCTTAAGCACCTTTCTGCCTTTTCAGCTACTTTTCAGCTGTGTTTTGTTGTTGTTGCTATTTTCAGCCTTTTTTTTAGCTAATTTCCTATTTTTTGTGCTAATTTCTGCTTATTTAAACATTATTCAGCAAATATGTGTTCTTTCTGCTTTCTTCTGCTAACTTAGGCTTGTTCTTCTATTTCAGCTACATTTCAGCATGCTTTTAGCTAATTTCAGCAGTTTTTCAGCAAGTTCTTCTGCAATAAGCATTCACACTGCATTTTTGCAGGAAATGCAGTTTCTCTAGTTTTAACTAAAAACTTCTTATACATTGTTAAGGACTAGATGTATAATTGTATGTAAAATAAAGCGTTCTTTCTGGAGTAATAATATTAAAGAAATATTCAGCAGCTCCAGAGACGGACCAAGTGTGTCTGAGGAGTTTTTTTTATTTTTTGTCGTTATTGGTACAACATGAATATTATATTTGAGTATGTGAAGTTGTAATAAAATCTTAGCCGTATTTTGTCTTTTCGTAGGAATACTTAAATTCTTTCAGGCTGCAGATTATTGCGGTGATTTGTTTCTATCCGTCAACAGGTTTGAACTTCAACCTTACAGTCAAAAATCTGGGCAAGAAAAACACTCGACAAACAAATTTGACTGTTTTCATTATTTTATTACTTTGTTTCTGGACTCTAATTTTTTAAGGAGTACTCAGATTTGAAATTTAAGTAAAACTAGAGAAATTGCATTTATTGCAGAAGAACTTTCTGGAAAAACTGCTGAAATAAGCTATAAAACATGCTGAAATGTAGCTGAAATGGAAGAACAAGCCTAATTTAGCAGAAGAAAGCAGAAAGAACACACATTTGCTGAATTAGGTTTAAAAGAACAGAAGTAAGTACAAAAATTTGGAAATTTGCTCATTTCAGCTTTTTTTTTAGCTAAGAAATTGCTGAAAAGGCAGAAAGAATCTTAAACTACTTGAAGGAAGTGGAAAGAGCTGAAATGAGCTATAAAATATGGAATTACCTGAAAAAGCTAAAAATGACAACAAAAGAGTTAAATAATAGCTGAAAGAGCAGAAAAAGCTGAAATTAGCAGAAAAAAGACTAAAGAATCATAACAAGCTAAAATTCGCATAAAAAGTTAATTAGGCTGAAAGAAGCAGAAATGAGCACAAAAAGTGGAGATTATCTGAAAAAAGATGAAAAGCAAAACAGTTGAAAAGTAGCTAAAAAAGCAGAAAGAAGCTTAAGTTATCAGAAGGACATGGAGAGCACATTTTTGCTGAATTAGGCTGTAAAAAGTTGAAAGGAGTGCAAAAAATGTGGGATTAGCTGAAAAGAAATCTAAAGTTAGCATAAAAAGCTAAATAGTAGCTGAAATAACAGATAAAGATGAAACTTTCAGAAATAAGCTGAAAGGTGCATAACAAGCTGAAATTAGCAGAAAGACGCTAGAAAAAGCACAAAAATGTTGTAGTTAGCGGAAAGGATCTGAAAGGAGCACAAAACGGCAGAAATCTGCTGAAAGTAGCTGAAAAAATGTTTAAATGTGCACAAGGAAGCTGAAAGAAGCTGAAGCAGAACAAAATGTGAAAGGAGCAGTAAAAGGTTGTAAACACATCTTAAGATTTTGAAGGATGTAAAATGAGCTCAATTCATTTTCTATGAGGAAAACATGGCAGAAAAGGCTAAATATTTCAAAAAGCTAAAGTTGCACCAATGCCCAATTTTAAAACAGGATTGTCTTGAAAGAGCTGAACGTTTTGACGATTTGTTGAAATGGCACAAAAACTGTGGAAAAAGAAAGAGGCTGAAAAACGTACAGAAGAAAAATGGATCACAATAGTGTGAATGCTTCATAAACGTTCACCCAATTAGAGCGTCAGCAGACAGAACACCTTCAACCAGATCTTTGTTTTCAGGTGTGTTGTCGCTGCTCGTTGGACCTGCTGCCCAAAGACTGCTCGGGGCCGCCCTGCAGCCCCGTGGCTCCCCGGGGGTCCAGGCGGGGTCAGTGTGGCGCCAAGCTGTACCACTGCCCACACTGCCCCTTCCTGTCCTACTACCCCAACCACCTGACCCGCCACTCCCTCACCCACTCAGAGGAGAAACCCCACCGCTGCCCACACTGCTCCTACACGTCCTCGCACCTCGACAACCTCAAGCGCCACGCACGCGTGCACACAGGTGAGAAGCCCTACCAGTGCCCGGCGTGTAGCTACGCCTGCGGAAACCTGGCCAACCTGCGGCGCCACGAGCGCATCCACTCGGGCGCCAAGCCCTTCCACTGCAGCGTCTGCGGCTACTCGTGCAACCAGAGCATGAACCTGAAGAGGCACATGCTGCGGCACACGGGCGAGAAACCGTATGCCTGCGCTGAGTGCGGCTACACCACTGGCCACTGGGACAACTACAAACGCCACCAGAGGAAGCACGGGCACAACACGCACAACTGGGACAAACATGCCCCCATCAATGGGCTGGGCTGGGGCCAGGAGAGTCCACGGAGGCAGAGTCCGGGGCCAGAGGAATGTTAGCTCTTCTGAGAGTGTGTGAGCTTTATAGAAAACGCTTAACTTTAAAGAAAACTGCTAAAAAACATCCAGGTGTTAGACAGTGAAGGATGAGAGTGTGCTGACAATCATCCACAGGGCACACCGTATCTGTGGTTGTCCGCTCAAATGCTCCCAAGAGGAACGACAATCAAACAATCGTAACAAAGTCCAGTCAGTGCCGAGGGGGAAAACCCTTCAGAACTTTAATGCTCTTAAATAAAAGACATTGTTGGCTGTACATTTTATCTGATAGATAACCAGGTCAGTCATGGCTTAACTCTTCAAAATATATATACAGTAGTCCCTTGATTATTGCAGGGGTTACGTTCCACACACCACCGCGATAGATGAAAAACTGCGAAGTAGGAACGCTATATTTATTTTAGTATATATATATATATATATATATATTTTAAGATATATTTTTTAAAACTGTTTTTCAGCTAGCTACAGTTAGCATGTTAGACGGTGAAATATATAGAGCGTACTGCTGTACGTCCGCTGCACTAGCTAATTACCAGCTAACTGAGTAAATGCTACGTCAGCATACACATTATAGTTTTTCTGATTATGTCTTCCGTACGGTTTCATTATCGAATTCAGCATAATTTTGATTCTTTTAGTCGTTCATATATCAAAAAAAGTTCAACTTGTTCAGGAAAAAGGTGTTCTAATGTTAGCTTTTTGTATAAATTTCATACCAACTTTTTGGGTTTCATTAAATAAACAAAGAATGTTTTAATTTTATCTCATTTCAACCCTAAAGTTTTTCTTTAGCTAAATTTAGTTTTAAGCTACAATTGTGTTAAATTTAGCTTTTAGGTCCAGTATAGCTAATTTTAGGTTTAAGCTTCTGTTCTGCTTGTTTATTTCAGTTTTAGTGTCAACGTCTTCAACAAATGTCAGCAGAATGATTCGTCAGCAGAAAATACAAAACAGTTTTAGCTAATTAGCTAACATCAGCTCGTCTCAGTTTTGCTTTGCAAAGAGAAGAGCAGAGGAGAAGTAATATTGGTTCGATATCTTTACTATTATAAATAAATATAAACTACAGAAATTGCATTTTGTGCAGACACAGTGTGATGCTAAGTGCTTAATAGATGCTGAAAGTCATGGAAGAAGCTAAAACTGAGTTGTTGAAGCTCAACACACAAGAAAACAAAACGGAGACAAAAGCTGAAGAAGTTTAAAAACAAAACTGTTTTTTAAGAAACGGAAGAAACCATAATGCATTTCTACTGGGAAAACATTTGTAAATAGTTAAATATTTAAAAAGTATAAAAGTTGCAAAAACCAAAAGTACCAACGCACTTATCTCCTGAATGAGCCGAATGTTTTGATTTATGAACAGCTAAAATCGCAGAAAATGTGCAGAAATTTTAAAGATGCAGATTATACAAAAATAAAAACATCAACTCTGGGCCAGCACTTTTCTTGGCTCTGGCGCTTTAGTATGGAAAGCCATTTTATTCAAAATTAAATAAATAAATAAATAAATAGTGTTATTTAAAAATTATTATTAAATATTCCATTAAATAATAAATAAATAAAGGTTCCCAAGAAATAAAACATTTAAATAGAAATGTTTAGTTTTTTCCTAGATTTATTTCAAGATTTATTTTTTATTTATTTCAAGATTCATTTTTATTTATTTCAAGATTTATTTATTTATTTATTTCATAATGGAGTTTCATTTTGTGACTCTTTTATTTTGTAAATCTACTTTACATATTTCAGGGGCTTTTATTTTTTTAACCCCGTTTTTCATTTTAAGCTCTTATTTCATGTTCTTAAATTCAAATGAGGGGGCGGGGTTTTTTCTGTGGGGCGGGTCTAGTCAAATCATCATAACAATGTGATCGGACCTGAGCGGTCTCAATGCAGCCCATCTATGAGTTTTATAGACCAAGCAAATCAATAACTAAATCAAAAATAAAATAAACGTTGGCCTCTCAAGTCTCACGCATTGACCGTGAGACACACGCATTTCATGACGTGCACACGACACACTTTGTATTTCTCACACAAACTCACACGCAGGCCCAGCCTTTTTTTAAGAGGAACCAATGTGCAGCACAATGTTTCCACATGGGCTGGAGCACAATAGCGGACATGGCTGTAGTGTTGCCAACTTAGCGACTTTATGTTGCGAGTTTTCAGACCCCTCTAGCGACTTCTTTTTTTTTTTTTTAAAGCGACTAGCAACAAATCTAGAGACTTTTTTTCTGTGTTACTGGAGACTTTGGTGACTACATGTGAAAGCACTTCATCTTGCCCTAAGCCCCTCCCACTTCTAGCGGGTCAAAACCTCATTCCAAGCTCAGACCAAAACTTGAGAGCCCTGAGCATGGACTTAACGTCTACTTGCTTAATTCATGGTTTGAAGGTAGTTGGACCAAGCAGAGTTCATTGGAGGGAATACTTTGCTGTGATTGGTCAAAAAAAATATTGGAGTAGTCCGTTTCTGTGAAGCAGATGCAATCCGCTAATCCTGACTAGACCCGCCCCACGGAGAAAACCCCGCCCCCTCATTTGAATATAAGAACATGAAATAAAAAGAGCTTAAAACGAAAAACGGAGTTAAATAATAAAATTCCCTAAAATATGTAAAGTAGCTTTACAAGGTAAAAGTGTCACAAAATGAAACTCAATTATTATATAAATAAATCTTGAAATAAATAAATCTTGAAATAAATAAAAAATAAATCTTGGAAAAAACTAAACATTTATATTTAAAAATTATATTTCATGGGAACATTTATTTATTTAATGGACTATATATTAATAATTTTTAAATACTATTTATTTATTTATTTAATAAATTTTGAATGAAATATTTCTCCATACTTTAGCTGACATTGTATTCAGATACAATTTTAAATTTTAATAGTTTTAATGCTTGTGCTTAGATATAATTTGTCTTGATCTAAAGTATATTTTTAAAAAGGGAAGCAGATTGCATATTTGTTCAAAATGTCATAAAAAGCTCACATGACAAAATATTCTAAATTAACTGATATATCTAATTTTTATTTTTTCATTTAATGCTACGTTTTCACATAGAAAAACAGTTTGATTTCAGTGTTTTGTAACTTCGTTCTATGGTTAAAAATATATATATGTTAATACTGTGATATTACATTTATGCAGCATCGCTCACCCAACGTCCAGCTCAGCTTGGATTTAAACTCAGGTGCCTTCATCAGACAAAAAGACTCTAAAGTTGCACTGAAATTACATTTAATGGGGCAATAATGTGTGTTTGTGTGAGCGAGTGGGAAAGTCTGAGTGGTTTTCTATATTTTCTACATGTGCGTGAATCATCTCACCAGATTTAAATAGATTTGATTAAATATTTCTGGACATTTTTCATTTTGTCTGCAGAGTTTCTGTGCAGTTTTCATCTCAGTCTCTGCTCACGCCTGATCGAATGGGCCGTGCCTATTTTCTGCTGAAAGCTTATATTCACAAAATTACTTGGAAGCATGTCCGCAGGGGCATTAGAGTTCAGGGGAAATAAGTCGAATGTAAATTTTATTAACCAGGTCGGAGAATGTTTGATGTCTGTGAAGCTTTTTAAAGCTAAAATAAAGATTTAAAGAATTTATATTTACAGTTTTTATGCTCGTTGCTACCTCGGGTTGTTTCAGAAATCGTCAATAAAAGTGAAAAATTATGAGTTTTGTTGTTTCTTTATAGCCAACAAGATACAAACTTTAAGAATTTTATAGTATAAGACTTGTTGAACAAACTAAACTATTCTACGTGAAAATAAAATGTTTTTTTTTTCTATTTGTGAGCATATTTGAGCTCCAAAACTATTTTTTAAACCAAACTTTTATAACTTGAAATGTTTGTTTTTGTCAGCAAAAAAAAAAAGAAATTCTACTTTAATTCTGATCTTTAGCTTTTATTTATTTACCTAATAATAAAAAATATATATATTTATTTCATTAATAAAACTGAGCTACGTCTTGTAAAAGTCCGTTTTAACAAATTAAGAAACACGTAATCTGGGTCATAACATAACTGCCTTCATTTTGAAGGTTTACACTCAATAAATCTGCTTTATTATTGCTTATATTAAAGATTAATTATGTATATTAACCTGCTTTCCCTTCATTTTCATTATTAGACGTAGAGGAAGATTAGTTGGGTCTCTTAGTTAATCCTGTATATGTAATATATTGTTAAAGTCATGTTTATATATTTTTTAAATGTTTTATAAATTGTTTTTTCTCAAACATGCAAACAAATATAAAGAAAATATGGAATAAATGATTATATAAAAAGTAGGCAAAAATACAGTAGAATACAGATTCATGGTTACATTTCTTCAAAGGGCAAAGTGCCCTCTTAAATTAATCCACTCCATCAGTTTTTATTATTTATGCTTTAACTCACCATTTTAATATCAACCCCATTTTTTTACATTTATATTTACTCCTTTTCAAAGAAAACATTAATTTATTTTATGCAAATGACATGATAATTTGTTTTTATTTAGCCAAACTTTCAATTTATACATGTCCTCTTTCCGTAAAAGCTGCAACATCATCATCATAGCACCAGATATCTTTAGGTATACTTAGACTCAAAAGAGAAACAGCTGTGGACCGAACACCGACCCCTGCAGAACACCACAAACAATAACCAAACATTTACCTTGACAAACCTGTTCCTTAAATACCTCACAGCCCAGTTTAAAACTATACCCTGATTTATTCCTTAGCTTCCCATTGCTTATTGACACATTCTGATTTGTTGCATTTAAACAAAACACTCCTAACAAATCAGACAATCCAAAGGGGCTTGTAACTTTTTACAAAGATAACAGATGATGCGCACGGAAACAATTGGTACTGGTTGAGATTCAAGATTGGTTACAGCTAGTATTTTTTTCATTCTTGGTCACAGCCTGTGACCAAGAATGAAAAAAAAAAAACAAACATTTTGTACAAAGAGTTTATTAAGTTGTGTAATGTAAAGCAGAATGCTAGGTTTGTAGCATCTTAGCTAGCGTGTCTATAATGCACGCCGCTAGCTTAGCGTTACTTCTAGTTGTGCCGAGCTCTCTAAAATAGTTATTGAATCAAGTGTTTAATTATAGGTAAATGTAGATGTTTAAAAACTCATTAAAATACATCACGTTGCAGGAAATGGCATCTACATTATTCAAATTTTTTGGGGGGAGGACCCCCAGACCACCCATCAGTGTGTGCCCCCCACATTATGAATGCTTCTGACGTCAATGACCACCACATTGTTCAAGCCAAGAGCCATTGTCAGCACTGGGGGCTAAGCACCCCTAAAGGTCAAATTCTAGAATCACCCCGGTCACAGGAGTTACTGAAGATTGCATTTCTGAGTAAAAACAGCACCAAACAGTCAGAGAAAGAACAACAAAGTCTATGCTCAATAATCCAGGTACACAATCCAACATTTTTCAGTCAGGTCATCTGGACAGTTTCTTTTTTTTTTTTTTTGTGCTGAAACGTTTCGCCTTCGATCCAGAAGGCTTCATCAGTCAAGGAAACACACAACACAAAACTGAATCTTCCCCCAACAGCTTACTCCAAAGTGGGGAAAAAAACAGTTTTGTTGGTGCTAAGATGGTCTCTCAACAAAGTCCATACTCAATAATCCAGTCAGAGAAAGCCTGTTCAGACCCCCTCTCCTACAGTTTGATACTGGATTATATTTGCAGCTTTACACTGAAACTGTCTCACATCATTTGTAT